ATAATATTTGTTTCTTTATGATGATAATGATATTTTTAAATATTTAATCAATGACTTTCGTGTCCACTTGTGACTTTCTTATGAAACTATTAATTTTTAGAAGTTCAACTTTAAGTCAAAAAAATCTTAACACTTAAGAGTAACTGGTTCAAATTTTATAATATTACAGCGTAGATGATTTGTTTTGAGAATGACTTTGTTAATATATGTGTCACTGATACATGTTTAGAGATTTGTGTTAGGTTGAATGAAAAAAATCAGAATAAATAAACTAAGTCAAATTTGTTCATATTTATGTTATTATATAATTAAATATGTAATTTTATGCATAAGAAATGACTAAAAAACCAATTTCAACAAGTTTGATAACTTTATATCTTCTGTTGAATTTATAAATTATGTAGAATCAAATTTGTTTAATTAAATATACGAGAGTTTTAGACACTAAATAAGTAAATTCTTTCTAGGTTTTTATATAATATTCTCATGGTTAGTGGCTGTAACATCCCAAAAATACGGTAATTACCATAATTCAGAATTAATTACCATTAACAGTAAGATAAGGCAGTCTTTACATTAATAGAAACGAGGTTCAAAAGCCGAACGGCTTTAATACAGAAATATCAAGCATTAAACGAAAACAGTACAGATTTAGGACGAACGGTTTTACAAAAAGAAATAACCGAACGTCTACTTCAAAAGCGAAATAACAAAAACTATAAAGGACGGACGTCCTACTGCTCTGATTTCACTTCAACTTCGACTAAGTTTTCTTCCTCAATAACGTCCTCTAGAGTGGCCTCGCCTTCTGCTCACATCCACACGGATGATCATTGCAAGACAGGACGAACGTACAGGTACAATGGACAACACAAGGAAAACGAAAGGGTAAGCTTATATAATTTAAGATATACATCAACACATACAATGAACATATCATTCCACACAATCACATAGTTTAACATATAACATCATGTAACATTGTATATATATATATATATATATATATATATATATATAAGACGACCGTCCGGACTGTATGAAACCGTGTAGCTACAGGCGTCCTCGCACCCGAGTGATGTAATAGCCGGGATATACCTAATCAGCTGTCACTCGAGGTTAGTCCGTTCTTACGTCGCCCATGTTAACTTATGGACTAAGGACCTCCTGCCATTCCCACACATGAACTACTCCCCTCTACGTGAAGATGAGTGTCACGGAATATCAGGATGGACCAAGCCTGGCGTAGCTTATCCACAGTCATCCTTTACCAAATTTAATATTCAAATATATATATAAGAGACGTTCCTCCATGGAACGCTCGTTCAAATTCCATCATGATAAAATCACTCAATATAGTGTTCGCTCTGTAATTTATTATCATTTATCATCATTCTCATCTTTAACTTTAAGAGCATAAAAGGACGAACGTTCAGTCCTTTGAAGGATTAGGACGAACGTTCAAATAAGGCACTGGATGGACGAACGTGACTATCTGTTTGGTCAGTTAAATGAAACGACTCAATTTGAAGGAGTACTGATACTTAGAAAATTTCATAATAAAGATCTTGAACCAGATTCAATATAAGAAGGATGGTTAATAATACTTAGAAATTTTCTTTGAAGAAATTTGCACATGGAAGACCGATACTAGTATTAGAACGAACGTAAGAATGTGAATATTCAAATACTTGAACGAACGCTATTTTATCCAAGTGGTTATTCAATAATACGAGCGCTTAGTATGTGACCGAGCACTGACTATGACGAATGCTAGGTAGATGACCGAGCATCAATTGAGACGAACGCTTGGTAGAAGACCGAGCGCTACTCAGGACGAACGTTCGATATAAGACCGAACGCTATTTAGGACGAACGTTCGGTATCAGACCGAACGTTACTTATTTTAGTACTGTTTAATTTAAGGCGTGCGATAACTTTATGCTGTGCCGAACGCTCAAACATAGTAATTCAAATAAGGACGCTCGTTCTCAAACCTAATTCTTCCCAAATGAAAGAATTCTACTCTAAGTCTTTTTTAGGGAAAAACCGAACGGTATAAGGCCGTACGATTGACGAACGTAATTTATCATAGGGAGAGTTTATCATATCCAGATTTTCCAACTTTCTTAACTTTAACATTTTTCATACGATTCATACTTTATAAATTCATATCCACATTAATTTACATACTATACAGATTTCATTACATTAATAAATCCAACTATACTATAGTCATACACCTTTCATATGAATCCAATTCAACATGCATTTCAACCAACAGAAGACATATTCATACAGCACAATAGGGTTCGTTCATGCAGATCCAGAATAGCACATATACATATATTTCATACAGACAACCCATATCATGCCTTCATATAATCATACAAGTATAAATTAAATATATAAGCTTCCCTTACCTGGATCTGTGAACGAACGTACTAAACACTTTTCGTCTAACTAAGTTCCCTTCTACCCTTACGTTCCACTCTTCTTTAACTAATTTCAAACATTCAATAAGCCAAAAGAGACTCAGACGGGATAATAGTATGCTACCGAAGCTGGGTTTGCATGTATCAGAAAAACGGACTGATAGGCCTAAGGAAACTTACCAGTTTTAGAACTCAGGTTTGTTCGGTTCGAAGTGAAGCTTGAGACGTTGGAAGTTCTTCTATGGTTTCTGAAATGGGATCGAAGAAGAGAAAGGGTGAGCTCTGGTAGAGAGAAGGGGAGTTTCTAGAGAGAAGGAGGAGGAAGATGGAAGATCAGATTTTTGGAAAGAGAGTGCATGCAGAGGAGAGTGGAGTGTTTTTCTGAAAAACCCAGTTTTTGCTCCACAGTCGAGAACGAACGTCCACTCCTCATCAGCCACGTGCATTCCACTAACGCTTTCCAGACTCCTTTAGTAGTGGCACCTGGCATTCGTTAGTGAACTGTCGTGCTCTCCAAGTGACACGCACTGCACTGCGTTCCTCACTCCAAACTCCATGCAGCGTGACACCTGGCGTCCGCTGTTGGAATGCTTTTCCTGCTGCTGCCACGTACCTGTTGAGGTGTCTCGTTCTCCAGCTGCCACGCGTACTCCAGTGTACGTTATTTTTCAGGGTCTTACAGTGGCTCTATAAGTAAAAAATAAATAAAAGTAGAATGATACACATTAACTTTAATTTTTTAAGAAAAAATAAAGTAAAAAATAAAGAATATTTTCAAATGAATTTAAAAAAATTATCTATGTCCCAATATTATTTTTTGTAAAAAATTTAGACATACGAACACTTTTGATCAAATGTTTGCATTTATTTAATTCGTTTAAAAAGTCAAGTATTGGCTGTATAAGAAAGTTTTTTTTCAAACTTTAAGAAAATAAGTTTTTAAAGGCTAACTTTGATTTATCTTTAATTGTTTTGTTATTTTGATTTATATATAGTATTTATGTCAATATAATGTAATAAATAATTAATTATAATCTATTAACATTTAAATTGAGATAAATGCATATGTATCAATGCAAATATATGATGGTATAGTTGTGATATACGGCGTAGTGAGCAGTGGAGACAATTGTTTTCAAGGAGATAATAATATGTTGAAATTTCATGCATTAAATTCATGACTTTTGAGGAAATAAACTTTATTCTACTAAAATTGTATTCACATTTAGAAACGAACATTTGTATTTTTTTTTTGTGTGGAGAAAATTGCATTTGTATATATTTCAGTTCTATACGAAAAATGAAGTTTTATTTTAAAAAGCTTTTGAAAGAGATATGTAAATGTATATAGTTATCAGTGTAGGATTTAATTTATATGACTGATTAAAAAAATTTACTTCCACTTATCTCTAAATCTATTCAAATAAACAAAAAAAAATTATCATCAAATCTTTTCAATTACTCTTTTCCAAATCCACTCAAGTGAACAAAAGATTTAATGTTTTCCATTATGAACACTCGTTAAGAATTCACATATAATCTTAATCCAATAATAATTGAAAAACGAGATCCATACCTTGCTAATTCAATAGTTATATGGTTTATGAACACAAGAGAGGGATAAATTATAAGTTATTGTCCATTTTTATTTATTTACCGTACTTTATAATTAATTTTTCTCAATTAACGGATTAAAGTTAATAAATGAAATGTTTATCACGTAATTTTTTTTGAGTAAACTTGTCTTTTCACGATTTTATATCAATATATAATCATGAATTAAAAAAATATTAATGAATTATTTTAGATTTAATATATTTTATTTTTTAAACTTGAATGCAAAGTCAAATTCATTTTTATTTTAAATTGGGACATTGATTCTCAAACTTAACAATGGTTATAATAATTCTAACCCACCAACATTAAATTTTGTAAGTGTTAAATAATGTTTTAAAATGAGATTTAAACTAAAATTTATCAACTAACGTAAATAATTTAAATGCTAATAACGTTAAACAAATTTATATATATTATCTTTTAAATTTAAAAGTCAAATTATATTGTCAAAGAAAATAAAACATAGTTTATCTAACCATTAATGATTATATTTGTTTTGATATTAAAATATTAATATTTTATGGAAACATATTTTATCTTTTATGGTCATTATGATTATACTATACTTATTTATTTCACATGAAAAACGGTTGAAAGATATTAACTTTCTAAGTTTTAACTGAATAGTTTAAAATAAAATATGAAATGACGTATACAAAGTTTAGTAATGAGTTCTGTAATTAGGTGGAGTTGGCAGCCAACCCATCAAAGCGGCAGCTTCCTGGATGAGAGTCGAGAAGCGTGAAGGATCGTCCAACCGCTACAAACGTACGCACCAAACACCAAAATCACCAACGGAATTAAGAAATTACTCATTAACGGTTTAACATACGTCAAAGGTTTAACCTATCCCGTACGCCTCTAACGTATCTTCGTACCCAAACAAGCCGCTAAGTGTCCAACTACACAAGCAGAGTATCACTTCATATATTTATTTTTTATTTTATTTTATTTTTCTCAACGCGATGAAAAGTACTTCCAGCTAGTAGTATGAAGATGGTTAAAAACCCGTAAACGTAAACCCTAGTAGTTTAAATAGCCTCCAGCTTTTCCTGTTGCGCTCTCTCTCTCTCTCTCAACGCAACTCAACATAACACAAATCGGAAGCCACTTACTCTGTTCGATTCTCGTTGGTCTCTTTATCGCTCGCGCTCTAAACCCTAGAGGACGCTATTTCTAGGGTTTATATCTGAACTTGTAATCGCTTTCGTAATTCTTGGATTGCGCGCTGATCGGAGTTGTAGCGGAGGTTTTTTGATCGAATTTTCGGTTCCATGGATCTTCCCAGTCTTGCTGTTATACTCCAAGCCGCTCTCAGTCCCAATCCAGATGAACGGAAAGCTGCTGAGGAGAGCTTGAATCAGGTGCGACTCCTTCCGATTCCTTAATTTTCTCCCTGATCAGAGTTTTCATTGCTTTGTATTTACTTGATTCACTTCCGGTTAGTGCTTAAGAAGTACGGATAGTTGTGAAACGTGGTGATTCTTTTAGTGTCTTCTTGGGTCGTCGGTTGTTGATTGAATTTTGGTGTACGGTTGTTAATTGAATCTAGCAGCGCTTTGATTTGATAAATTTAAATTTGGCTGTGTTTCTTGATGATCTTTTTTATTCACGATCTTGTTTATGTAGTGAAAAACATCGGACTTTGTTGTCTGTTGTCATGGGCGTCCCGGTTTGCGGTTGTAATTGAATGTTTCAATGTTGCAGTTTGTTGACTTTTTTTAACTTTTATATGCTTGTTGTTGAATTTGCATACAGTTTCAGTATTCGCCTCAGCATCTTGTGAGGCTGTTGCAAATCATTGTTGACAACAACGTTGACATTGGTGTACGACAAGTGGCTAGTATTCATTTCAATAACTTTATTGCGAAAAATTGGTCTCCTCTTGATGGTATGCACTTTTTATCATTGGTGCAAATTAGATAATGAAATGGGATTTTTGCTTATTAATGTCTTTATTTTTGTGGGTTGCTTATGTAGAAACGCAGCAGCAGATTTCACAGAGTGATAAAGATGTGGTGAGAGATCACATTCTGGTCGTTGTAACCCATGTTCCTCCTCTGTTGAGGTATGATTGTTTTGGTGCCTCATATCCGGTGGCTATTCTTGTACATTTTGATGTGTTGTTTTCTTGCTGTCATGTCTCTCTTTACCTTGTGGGTGATGACAACTAATGAGGGTTTAAATTATGTGCCATATTTCTTTCTCTTTTAAACAACGTTTTGTTTGTGTTTTTTTTTTCCAATTCTCCGTTGTGTTGACTTGGCGTTCCTTACGTCTAAAGGGTACAACTTGGCGAGTGCCTTAAAACAGTTATACGTTGTGATTATCCTGAGCAGTGGCCACGTCTTCTTGATTGGGTGAAGCATAACTTACAGGATCAACAAGTCTATGGGGCATTGTTTGTGCTCCGGATTCTTTCAAGAAAATACGAGTAAGTTTGTGACTTCATATCTATTATACCTTAACTGGAAGAACCAGGTTGATGTTCTTACCCAGTTCTGTTGGTGATATTTTCTCACTATTTGGTACTTTGTCCGTTATTATCAATAATTGTACTTTCATACTATATGGAAGTTCCTGTTTGGTTTTCATTTTTTATTGTACGTTTACAGTGCCATTTACACGCAAATAGGTTGTACTATGTTGCTTAGATCATTTCGTTGAACTATAAATTTGTTATATATGCATGTGTTGTAGGGATAGAAAAAAGGATTTAATAAGAATGTGGAGAAAGATTCAAATCTAAGAGAATGAGAAACTCTCAATAATAAAAAATGTCACAAAAGGGGAAAGATAACATAAAAATAAGAATGAACTATTCACTTGTTTTGCATGTCGCCTAAATAGTTGTCTGCTTTTCCAGTACCAAAAGAAAATTTAACAAAGAAATGATTAGCAATAATTATTTTTTGAATGTTAATTTCTTGATCATTTTGAGGTGTTGAAGAAAATGAATGAGGATTAATATATCACCACAAATTTGAGATTTTTCATTAAGTCTGGAAAGGAAAATAGAAAAGACTAGAGTTTACAATGTTTCAAATGGAAGGGACAAACCTCATTCCATGCGTTTTGGCCAGTATGATTACTTTTCTATGTTCATTAATAAGATTTGAAGTTTCCATTTCAAAAAAGTTGTTGGAGGGGAGACCCTGCTAAAGTTGACTATGGGCAGGTTTCACAATGGAGAATATTTACTGGCAAAGCTAATAAATATTCTGTACTAATAACGTGGTTAAAAAAATTTCCATTTCAAAGTATTACATTTATGATTTTGCAAGAGCTCATATTTTCAAAAGTACCCTGTGATCCTTAAATAGTTGTCCAGATTCATTAGTCTAGTATGTGTTAGGTTCATACGCTCTTTTATATTTTCTTTTCAGTTTCAAGTCCGTCGAGGAAAGGATCCTAGCTTATCGCATTGTTGACGAGACATTTCCTCATCTTCTCAATATATTTAATGGTCTTGTCCAGATTGTTAATCCATCACTTGAAGTAGCTGATCTAATCAAGCTTATCTGTAAAATATTCTGGTCTTCCATTTATGTACGCTCTCTCTGTCCTCACATGTATTCTTAAATTAACAAGTTTATTTTATGCATTATGCTGTAGATCAAACCTTGTTCAGATTCATGTTACTTCTATTGATAGCCATTATGTAAAATCTGTGATTATTATTAATTAGGGTGTACAATGCATTCTATTTTACCCAAGGTGGTCAAGGCTGTCAAATTTGAGGGGGTAAGTGTGTTTGGATTAATGTCTGGAAGTGTTCAGGCATAAGTTTGCATATTTCAAAGCAGTGAAAGGAGAAGCAACTCCCTTGTGTCATTGAAGTTAGTGTGCATAATTTAAATATAACTCTTTTCCGATCACATCCTTTAGATTGTATTGGACTTTTAGAGTTTACCTAAAACAAAAATAATAGTTTAGAAAAAGCCTAATCACAGTCTTCTAATTTCAGCTTAAACTCAATTTACAAAATCGACTTGGATGTGAGTTCTACCAAAATTTGTAAGCTCTATTTAAAACATAGCTTTATTTGATTTAGAATTAAAGACTACCCTTGAGACCTCAACCAACTATGGCACCTCCAAAAGAGGTTTTAACTAAGGCAACTGCAATTAAAGTGATTTTCCAATAACCCCCCTCTTGCCTAAGGTTAATGGCACGGAGCATGGCTAATGCAAGTGGCTAAGCCATCTTAGAAGTTGGGCTCAACTTTAACTTCATGAGATTTATTTGGAAGGTGAGGATTGTGCATGCTTTGTAAGTTCTATTTAAGTCATACTTCTAGTTGATGTAGGATTAAACACTACTTTTGTTGCAATTTAGCCATCCTCTAAAGAGGCCATAATTAAGGTGGCTAGGGGTGACCACAATTAAGGCCACTTTCAAACACTATTATCAACACAAATAATAACATCTTACATAATAAGTGTTCAGCATTCTAGCTTCATAACTAAGCAAACAATATATTGGAACTGGATCAGAAACAAGACTACCTGAATTTTTTATCGATAGAGAACCTTGATCCCCTATCTGTTATCAAAGTCTTGAATAGGGAAGGGGACAAACAGAAGAATGAAATGAATTCTCTGGTAATTTAAGAGTCTTGGGTACCTGAATTTTATTGGCAGAGAACCTTAGTCCTCAATCTGGTAAGTGTTGAATTGGGAATGGAATTAACGAACAGAAGAAAAGAATGAATTATCTGTTGATACAAGAGTCTTGGAGCTCTTCTCACCAGCGAATACTCAGATACATGATATCCTTCTCTTAGTTGTCCTACCTTTTTATGAGTTTTCCCCTTTAACCTTACTGATAAACTAACTGCAGTTAATCAAATCTTAATTAGAATTGATGCGCTGCCTTTCTTTTACAAACAACAATGATACCATTCTGTTAAATTTTAATTGAAATACATGATACCCTTCTGTTACTTTGGGGTTATGCCTTTTAAGAAAATGACGCTTAATTGTCCACTGTATTTTAGTATCTTTTCATCCCTTGCCATTGGGTTTATATTGCCATTAAATTTAAATAAGCAAAGAATATAAAGTTATTGTGGGATTGTTATATCTCTAGTATCATGTTTTCCTCTCACGTCAAATATGAGGTGGAGTTAATGTGATTAAAAGTTAGAAGAACAAAAATAGTCAACACTACAGTCCATGTGAATCCTTGTCTAGGAAGTCTTTATTTATGTGTTTGTATCTCAATAAATCTTTGTTTCATTTTTTTTGGTTGATCTGGTCGCTGGGGATAAAATGAAATAAAGGAGAGCATCTTTTACATTTTGAGATAACTTTTTCGGCCACCTCATTTTTTTTGATGCTTCTCACCTCAAATTTCTGATAGTTGACATGTGAAATTATGGATTTTGTTGAATTTATTCAGTTGGAGATTCCTAAGCTGTTGTTTGATCAAAATATCTTCAATGCTTGGATGATGCTTTTTTTAAATATATTGGAGAGACCTGTACCCTCTGAAGGTCAGCCTGTTGATCCTGATCTTAGAAAATCATGGGGTTGGTGGAAGGTCAAGAAATGGACAGTTCACATTCTATATAGGCTCTACACTCGGTATGTTTAGGTGTGGATTGATTGATTTATATATAAAAGAATTTTTGTCGTTACTTATTCTGAATTTCTATGGTTGTTTAAATTACCACATGACAGTTTTGGAGACTTGAAGCTTCAAAACCCTGAAAACAGAGTCTTTGCCCAAATGTTTCAGAAGCATTACGCTGGGAAAATCTTAGAGTGCCATTTAAATCTATTAAATGTTGTTAGAGTAGGGGGCTATTTACCTGACAGAGTTATCAACTTGATTCTTGAATATCTAACCAACAGGTGGGTATCCTTTGCAGTCTAATTTTTCACCGTGAATCATATTATATAATCATATTCTAGCCTACTTTAATTAACTGCGTGCCTTTAATTCTGATTAATGCCACACATCATTTAGTAAATGCATTTTCTTTTTGACTTGGTTTGGAGATGCAATATAAAAACCATTATGGTCTCTCCACCTAACAGGATTAGCTTTTAGGATTGTTGGTTCATGATATTTGAGCTTTTTTTGATCTAGGGGTCTAGATTGCTTCCCCCATTCTTCCAATAAAAAAGTTGAAATTCAACAAATGGCAGGTGGTTTTATGTATTATCCATAATTTAAAGAGCTCTTGGCTTAGGGAATGCTGCTACTGAGGAAATTATAAGAACCATTATGTTAAAGAAAACTGAGATTTTCTTGATGGTTCTGGTTCCAAGCCTTTGTAAAACTTGAATAGAGTTTGCCTTAGTTTGATAACTTTGATGTAACTAACATATGATAGCAAAAAGCATTATTATTTAAGGCACACGTGACACTGAATATTGGCAAAGCGTGCTCCATAGCATCATCCACATCCTTGATATCTAAAGTCAACCATGAATTTAGGAGGAGCCATGAAAGGCAGTAACAAGTGCTTTAGTTTCCTGGTTTTGTGCAGTTTTTGATAGAAAAACAGTATAGCTCTCTTCGTTTTGTAAATTTGTTTTGGACAGCAAACCTTAAATTAGATTTAGATGGGCTGCATCTGCCGTAACTTTATTTCAAAACTTTTGTAGACAATGCACAAGAAGTAAAGCTTAAATTTCTTCAATTGGTAGCAGTTCAAACTTACTTTCAATGACAAAAATGACACAATCATAGTCTTGAGGCAATCCTTAAAATAGCATTTATGTATTCTTGGTGAGAGTGGAAGTGGGACAACCAATTAACGCATTAACACCAAGAAGAAACTCTGTTATCAACCAATCTTCAAGGATAAGATTTTTGGATTGAAGTTCATTGCAAAGTTGTTGAGGACCACACATTTGTTTTTGAAAATAATCAGGAACTTTATCCCAAACATGATAAGAATTAATGCTACCTAAGACTATAGAAAGAAACGAGTGTGATAATGTTGGTTAGAGTGCGCCAACACCATTTGATCTTGCTGTTAAGTGCTATAGGTGGGATTGATTTTTCCAGCATCATGATCAGCTTCGGTAACAAAACAAAGAGGAAACAATGGATCGATACAAAGTGTTGGAAGACATTGCGGTTTAATACACACAGCAAGAAGTTGGAGTCATCAAGGTTCTTTTAGGTTTTGGGGGAAGCAGCAGAGGATGGGGAGGGAGGAGGAGGAAGATTGCCACACAAGAATGTTAAAGATTTGGCACCATGTTGAATTGATATAGAGAAAGAAGATAAATAGCAAAAGAAAGAAAGATGGAAAAAATAAACTGATTCTGTAGCTGTATATGAGGTGCCTGCGACAGAATATGCAGAGCTCTTTGTATAGAGTTAACCAGCTGTCGTATTGACAGCCATACAAAAGCTAACTACTATGCAAAAGCTGACATCTAACTGATTAACATCGATATAATTGTTGAAGTAAAAAAGTACTAGCACATGTAGGCGTTGGCTGTTCTCTTAAGTTTTTATTGTGCAAGAAAGTAAACGGCAATAGTGTGTTGGTCGGTGCAATTTTGGGGTGGGGGGTATGGACAGTTGATGGGTCCTGATGTGTTGTTGGATATGTGTATCCTTCATTAACTGTCCCACATAATTCTGTAAAAACTGCCTCAATGACCATTATTCATAGAAAATAACTGATGGCTGGCGACAATAGTGGGGGTGTACATAGGATGTGTCGTTATTTTGAAGTTTGTGGTTATTGAAGACTTTTTGTCTCTACAAAGACAGGTGCATTATATTTGTGTGATTTCTGTGTTCTGCATTATATCCTATTTTTTCTCAAATATCAACTGATATTCTATCTGCAATTATAAGCATGTGGTTGGTAAGTTAATACATTATTCCACAGTTGCTACTCATCATAAATTCAGGATTTCGGTGAACTTTTTCAAAAACTCCTATAACATGAGCCTAGTAAACATCAGAGGTCTGGTTTTAAAAAAAAAAATTTAAACACTGTGAAAGCCGTTAGACTTCCGATTATATGAGGTGCTCATGTGCTTTATTAGATTTTCAATAAGCTAAAGGAGGAGTAGATGCTTGACATTGGAATAGAGCATCTTTGGTCATGGGGTCTCGAGGATGATAGGAGACTAAGAGTGTATGAGAGGAGAAGGAAGAGTTAGTAGAATTAGTTACTCTAACTGTCTTAACAGTTAGAAAGGGCGCGGGTTAGACTTGTATATATAAGAAGTAGTTATCTGCTGAAAGACACTTTTGACTACTTGTATTCTTTGTACAAGATTCGTTATTCCTGTGGGGGAGGTTAGGCTCCCATAGCTACCCTATATCTGACTTTCTTGCCGTTAATAATACGTGTGGAGGTTATTCAGTCGTGTGTTAGTGAGATTTTCTTTAGGTTTCTTGATTGGAAACCTAACAGAGGCTTTGTACATATAGCTGTTACTATGGAAATGAGAGCCCTATGTGTGATGCTTTTATATTTCTGCTATTGGTTCTTTATGAATGTATCTTTCTTTCTCATTCCTGAATGTCAAATCGGATCAGGAAGAAAGTTGTTATTGTCTATTTGGATAGAAATCATGAGTTGTTGAGTGCTATATTTGGTGCCACGAGATAGCACATACTAATTATTTCTCTGTAATTTTGGCATCACATGCAGTATCTCAAGGAATAGTATGTATACTCTGCTGCAACCACGGCTTGATGTCCTTCTTTTTGAAATAGTGTTCCCCCTTATGTGCTTTAATGATAATGATCAAAAGCTTTGGGATGAAGATCCTCACGAGTATGTAAGGAAAGGCTATGGTAAGTTGCCCTGGTGTGTATGGAAACAGTATTTCAATATGCACTGGAATTTCTTATAGCTTGTAATTCTCTGTTACAGATATTATTGAAGATTTGTATAGTCCTAGGACTGCTTCCATGGATTTTGTGAGTGAGTTGGTTCGGAAACGGGGGAAAGAAAATCTTCAAAAATTTATTCAATTTATTGTTGAAATTTTCAGAAGGTAATGGTTTACTGTTAGAATGAATAATCTATAATTGGGTGCAATATTTATGATTTGCTGTGCATTAGGTATGATGAAGCTTCTGCAGAGTACAAGCCCTACAGACAGAAAGATGGTGCCCTCCTTGCGATTGGGGCACTTTGTGACAAATTGAAGCAGACTGAGCCATACAAGTCTGAACTCGAGCGAATGTTAGTGCAACATGTCTTTCCCGAGTTCAGCAGTCCTGTTGGCCACCTTAGGGCTAAGGTAGGATTTCCTATTATAGTTTTTATTTTTATCTCCATATATTGCCATGTGATGTAGGACCTTTTTTTTATTACCATTCCAGTCTTCTAAAATACAACAACTGAGCTTTATTTATAACCAGGTACTCAACAGCAATGAAAACGAATTTAACTATACTTGACTAACATTCTTCTTCTATTCATATTTACATACTGTTACCCTTCACCAAAAAAGGATACATGCCCTCAAGGGTCTTGAGCTTCATGTGGGATTATAAGAGGAAGATAATATCTGATTAGTCCCCAAAGTTTTCTAGATCTGCTCCAAAGTCACAATAACAGGATCCATACTTCTAAGTATCTCAACTTATGCTTCGTATAATCAGTAGATCTGAGCTATGCAGGGTTGAGTGCTTTATATGGATGCAAAAGGATCACACAACGGGCATATTTGTTTAATGGCCCAGTTATCATCCTTACCACGGTTGGAAAGGGTTTTAGGCTGTCATTCACGGTGTTCTAAACTAAATAAATGAAGCATTATTTGCAAATGCATAGGTTTATTTGATTTCGTTTAAGTTATTTTAAAACTTTTTCAGATTATGGAATTATTGTGTAAAGTACAATTTAATTTTTGTTTGAAAAACAGGCAGCATGGGTTGCTGGACAGTATGCCCATATTAACTTTTCAGATCAGAACAATTTCCGAAAGGCTTTGCAGTGTGTGGTATCCAGAATGCAGGATTCAGAACTTCCTGTGCGTGTTGATTCCGTTTTTGCTTTGCGCTCTTTTATTGAAGCTTGTAAAGGTGGTTTTTACATTCTCATTATTTTTTGTAATTATTATGAATATTTTTTTTCTATATGCTTATTTTTCTCATGACATGTTTGTGCAGATTTGAATGAAATTCGTCCTATTCTTCCTCAACTCCTTGATGGTACGAGGGTGTGAGAATTTTGTTTCTCTCCAGAATTATTATTTGACTTGCTGAATAAGTTTTAACCAGCGAAATTTTATCCAGAGTTTTTCAAACTTATGAATGAGGTTGAGAATGAGGACCTTGTGTTCACATTGGAGACTATCGTGGACAAGTTTGGGGAAGAGATGGCCCCTTATGCACTTGGGTTGTGCCAAAATTTGGTAATATTTCTTTTCCTTTCACAAATTTTTTAGAAATTATTAATTTTTAATAATTTCTAGAAAATTTTAATTTTTAATAATTTCTAGAGGTAATGTGAAAATAACTTAGTTTTATTTTAAATAACAGGCTGCTGCATTTTGGAGGTGTATGAACACTGCAGAAGCTGAGGATGAAGCTGATGATCCAGGTCCTTTGGCTGCTGTAGGTTGTTTACGTGCTATTAGTACAATACTTGAATCAGTGAGCAGGCTTCCTCACCTTTTTGTTCAAATTGAGCCAACTTTGCTTCCTATAATGCGCAGAATGTTGACAACTGATGGTCAAGGTACCTCTCCCCATGCTGCTCTCTCTCTCTCGTGACAATCTTTGTCCTACATTTTTCTCCAATGTTATTTTGTGTTTTTGTTATGTGTATATACACCTCTTTTCATTAAGCGTTACAAAAGTTTTGGAGAAGAGGGTATCCTGCTTGAACATAAAATGACATTTTGCTGCACAAACTACAAAGAAAACAGAATCACTAATTGAGCAAAGCTTCTAAAATCTCTCAGCATGTCAGTTAGGAAAAACTCCTTAAAAAAGACTATAGGTGTTTTCTACCAAACAAGGCCAAATGCTTTATCATATATCAAACAGTTATTGTGCTACAACAACCACTTTAAAAATTCTAAGTTTCAGTCTCTGACCATATACACCAAAGCATTTGTGTATTTTGCACATTCCCACAAAATAATTGTGTTATTCTGTCTAGACCATTGAAGCTAATCATAGAAAACCAGTCCAATTACTTTAGAATTCCTTGTTGATTAGCCAAAATGTTCCAAGGAAAACCCATCTTGCTCTTTTTGACAGTTGTCCAACCATACATGTATTCTTGTTGTTATGCCTTGTGTTGGTATATTTTTTCTTTAAGAAATAGGCAATACTAATGGATTCTGGTAACCCTTCTAATAATGTTTCATAAGACTTTAAGATGGATGTATGAAGTAGTTGATCACTGGAGGAATTTTGGTCTTCCTCTATATGCTTAGACTTATTAAATGAATGCAATGCTGAAAAACTTGTTAAGTTTCTATATATTTGCTTCTTTAATTTCATGGACCCTGTATTTGTGTTAGTTTAATTATTAGTTTGTGATATGTAAACAATGGTTTGTGTATTTTAATTTTGTTTGGATTTTCACTCATTTCTACTATCTTCTATNGGGAGGAGGAGGAAGATTGCCACACAAGACTGTTAAACAACTGTCCCACATAAATCTGTAAAAACTGCCTCAATGACCTTTACTCATAGAAAATAACTGATGGCTGGCGACAATAGTGGGGGTGTACATAGGATGTGTCGTTATTTTGAAGTTTGTGGTTATTGAAGACTTTTTGTCTCTACAAAGACAGGTGCATTATATTTGTGTGATTTCTGTGTTCTGCATTATATCCTATTTTTTCTCAAATATCAACTGATATTCTATCTGCAATTATAAGCATGTGGTTGCTAAGTTAATGCATTAAATAAATCCCGCTCACAAGACTTATTCCACAGTTTCTACTCATCATAAATTCAGGATTTCGGTGAACTTTTTCAAAAACTCCTATAACATGAGCCTAGTAAACATTAAAAGGTTTTAAAAAAAAATTTAAATTCTGTGAAAGCCGTCAGACTTCCGATTATATGAGGTGCTCATGTGCTTTATTAGATTTTCAATAAGCTAAAGGAGGAGTAGATGCTTGACATTGGAATAGAGCATCTTTGGTCATGGGGTCTCGAGGATGATAGGAGACTAAGAGTGTATGAGAGGAGAAGGAAGAGTTAGTAGAATTAGTTACTCTAACTGTCTTAACAGTTAGAAAGGGCGCGGGTTAGACTTGTATATATAAGAAGTAGTTATCTGCTGAAAGACACTTTTGACTACTTGTATTCTTTGTACAAGATTCGTTATTCCTGTGGGGGAGGTTAGGCTCCCATAGCTACCCTATATCTGACTTTCTTGCCGTTAATAATACGTGTGGAGGTTATTCAGTCGTGTGTTAGTGAGATTTTCTTTAGGTTTCTTGATTGGAAACCTAACAGAGGCTTTGTACATATAGCTGTTACTATGGAAATGAGAGCCCTATGTGTGATGCTTTTATATTTCTGCTATTGGTTCTTTATGAATGTATCTTTCTTTCTCATTCCTGAATGTCAAATCGGATCAGGAAGAAAGTTGTTATTGTCTATTTGGATAGAAATCATGAGTTGTTGAGTGCTATATTTGGTGCCACGAGATAGCACATACTAATTATTTCTCTGTAATTTTGGCATCACATGCAGTATCTCAAGGAATAGTATGTATACTCTGCTGCAACCACGGCTTGATGTCCTTCTTTTTGAAATAGTGTTCCCCCTTATGTGCTTTAATGATAATGATCAAAAGCTTTGGGATGAAGATCCTCACGAGTATGTAAGGAAAGGCTATGGTAAGTTGCCCTGGTGTGTATGGAAACAGTATTTCAATATGCACTGGAATTTCTTATAGCTTGTAATTCTCTGTTACAGATATTATTGAAGATTTGTATAGTCCTAGGACTGCTTCCATGGATTTTGTGAGTGAATTGGTTCGGAAACGGGGGAAAGAAAATCTTCAAAAATTTATTCAATTTATTGTTGAAATTTTCAGAAGGTAATGGTTTACTGTTAGAATGAATAATCTATAATTGGGTGCAATATTTATGATTTGCTGTGCATTAGGTATGATGAAGCTTCTGCAGAGTACAAGCCCTACAGACAGAAAGATGGTGCCCTCCTTGCGATTGGGGCACTTTGTGACAAATTGAAGCAGACTGAGCCATACAAGTCTGAACTCGAGCGAATGTTAGTGCAACATGTCTTTCCCGAGTTCAGCAGTCCTGTTGGCCACCTTAGGGCTAAGGTAGGATTTCCTATTATAGTTTTTATTTTTATCTCCATATATTGCCATGTGATGTAGGACCTTTTTTTTATTACCATTCCAGTCTTCTAAAATACAACAACTGAGCTTTATTTATAACCAGGTACTCAACAGCAATGAAAACGAATTTAATTATACTTGACTAACATTCTTCTTCTATTCATATTTACATACTGTTACCCTTCACCAAAAAAGGATACATGCCCTCAAGGGTCTTGAGCTTCATGTGGGATTATAAGAGGAAGATAATATCTGATTAGTCCCGAATGTTTTCTAGATCTGCTTCCAAAGTTACAATAACAGGATCCATACTTCTAAGTATCTCAACTTATGCTTCGTATAATCAGTAGATCTGATCTTATGCAGTGTTGAGTGCTTTATATGGATGCAAAAGGATCACACAACGGGCATATTTGTTTAATGGCCCATTTATCATCCTTACCACGGTTGGAAAGGGTTTTTGGCTTTCATTCACGGTGTTCTAAACTAAATAAATGAAGCATTATTTGCAAATGCATAGGTTTATTTGATTTCGTTTAAGTTATTTTAAAACTTTTTCAGATTATGGAATTATTGTGTAAAGTACAATTTAATTTTGTTTGAAAAACAGGCAGCATGGGTTGCTGGACAGTATGCCCATATTAACTTTTCAGATCAGAACAATTTCCGTAAGGCTTTGCAGTGTGTGGTATCCAGAATGCAGGATTCAGAACTTCCTGTGCGTGTTGATTCCTTTTTTGCTTTGCGCTCTTTTATTGAAGTTTGTAAAGGTGGTTTTTACATTCTCATTATTTTTTGTAATTATTATGAATATTTTTTTTCTATATGCTTATTTTTCTCATGACATGTTTGTGCAGATTTGAATGAAATTCGTCCTATTCTTCCTCAACTCCTTGATGGTACGAGGGTGTGAGAATTTTGTTTCTCTCCAGAATTATTATTTGACTTGCTGAATAAGTTTTAACCAGCGAAATTTTATCCAGAGTTTTTCAAACTTATGAATGAGGTTGAGAATGAGGACCTTGTGTTCACATTGGAGACTATCGTGGACAAGTTTGGGGAAGAGATGGCCCCTTATGCACTTGGGTTGTGCCAAAATTTGGTAATATTTCTTTTCCTTTCACAA